TCGCCATGTGGCAACCTGGAATGTGAGGTTATAGTTTTATAATAAGAGATAACAGATTTAAAATAGAGATGAGGAGAAATTACTTCCCTGAAAAGCCTTGTGAATCTGTGGAATTCACTATCCCAGAGTACAGTGGATGTTGAGACATTGAATATACTTAATGAGAAAATAGACAGATTTTTAGTTAGGAACAAGTTGAAGGGCTATGGAGAAGGGGCAGAAAAGTGGAGATGAGGCCGAGATGAAACCAGCCATGAACTTATTGAATGGTGGAGTACATTTGAGGGGTTGAGTTGCCGAACCCCGCTCCTGGTTCTTATGTTCTGTCCAGCTGCAGTAAAACATCCCTATTTGTCTATGCCACTCTGCTTCTAATTATTGACAACATTCTGTTTCTTTCCTAAACATTTGCTGTACCTGTCAGGTCTCCTGGTTCCCTCTGTACCACTGACTTCTGCAATCTCTCTCTATTTAAATAAAATATTGTTTTGCTATTCTTCCTGCCAAATGGACAAGTTCGTACTAACCCAATCTATACATTTTCCCACACTCTTAACCTGTCTACATCCCTTTGCACACCCACTACCTCCATTTGAGTACTTACTTTCCCACCTATCTCAATGTCACCAGCTGTTCTAGCTGTTATACATTTGGTACCCTCATCCATATCTTTGATAAAAGTCGTAAATCGTGGAGGACCAAGTTCTGATTTCTGTGGCACTGCACTGACAACTTGCTGAGAGAGACTCATTATCCCTACCCTCTGCTTCCTGTTAGCTAGTGAATCTCTGGCTCTCTTGCTGCTGTCTCGACTGGATTCTCTCTTACATAGCCTGCAGTCCCTACCTGCGCTTTTGCAAGCATCCTGTGAAGGGGTCATTGAGACACAGAATGTTGGCCCGTTGTGATTAGTACCTACAGTTGTCCCATGCCACTATCTTATTAAACTTTGCCTATTGCATTCTCTGGATATCAATCATACCAATCTCCATGCAGCTTATCCCTCCCAGTGTGGACCCTGCCAACTTTTCTAGTGGATCAACCCTTACTCTCTCCCCAACTCCCTTTCAGAATGTCTGTTAACTTGTGCCCAAGGCTGTTGCCATCCTCAGAATTATTGTAAATGATACAATGAAATCTGGGGTTGATGGGAAAGGGTAGATCCCCCTAAATGAAGCTTTTTTGCCAGGTTATATTTTAACACCACTTGTCAGGGCTAAAGGGCACGTGGCCCTTATCACTAGATCACACCTTGGCTTGGTCCCGTAATTTTCCAGCACTTTCTCTTCCTATGAGCATTTCATTATGTTTCAATCCTCCCAAATGTTGTTTAAAATTCTTTGCCATGCAGCTCCCAAGCATGATAAATCCCATCTCATCAAGGTACTGCATTCCATCAGTCTTTGTACAAACTTCTAATTCTCAGGAATTTTAATTTCCATCTTAGCTCATCACTAATGCACTGCCCTCCTATCTGCCCAAATCTCCCCCTCTCATGTGAACTCGCTGACTGAAGAGTTGAGTTCCCGAAAAGGATATATAAGATTCTGAACATGCTCGACATGGTAGATGTTGCAAAGATGTTTCCAAAAGTGGAGAGTCTCAAATGTGGGCATGTACTTACAGAATACAGAGGCACTCATTAAAAACTGAGATGCAAAGGAATTTCTGCTCCAGAGGATAGTGAATACCTGGAATTCTCATCCCAGAGAATTGTGGAGGCTAAATCATTGCAGGTATTTAAAGAAGAGGTAGCTAGACCTTTGAAATATCACGTAGCTAACACGAAAGAGGAGTTGAGGCCTTGGGCAGATCAGTGATGATTCTGTTGAATGACCTAACCCTGATCCTATATTATATGTTTTTAAAACTAGCTATGCCACCAGCCAAGCTATTTAGGAACAGCTACAAAGCTAGCATCTACCCAACAATGTGGAAAATTGCCCAGGTAAGCCCTGTTCACAATAATCAGGACAAATCCAACCTTGCTAGTTAGTCTCCATCTTGATCAACAGCAAAATGATGGAAGATGACAGTGAGAGCGTGCGCACTTCACGTAAACGTCTCTTAGATGGCAAGAACCTGATTACTGATGTTCGGTTTGATTTCACCAAAACTAACTTTATTGCAGCCTTGGTTCAGACATAGACAAGAAATGTGAACTCGAGAAATGTGAGAATTACTACCTTCGACTGAGTGACGTCAAGGAGTTCTGGCAGAATTGAAGTCAGTGGGAATCAGGGGGATAACACTGGTTGGAGTCGTACCTAGCACAAAACAAGACATTTATGGTTGTTGGACGCCAAACTTCTCAGCCCCAGGGCACCACTACAGGAGTTCCTCAGGATAGTGTCTTCATCTCTAGCTGCTTCATGACTGACCTTTCCTCCAGCAAGGTCAAAGTGGGTTGTCACTGATGATTACACAATGTTAGAAACATTTACAATTTCTCAGATTCTGAAGCAGTCCGTGCTATTAAGCAGTAAGACCTGCACAGTATTCAGACTTTGACTGCTATGTTGCAGGTAACATTTGCACCATACAAATGCCAGGCAATGATCATCTCCAAAAAGGCAGAACCTAACCATCTCCTTGCCACATTGAATGACAACAACATGACCAAATCCCCCTTTATCAATATCCTGGGAGTTATCATTGACCAGAAGCTAAACTAGACTAGCCATATAAATACTTGACTGCAAGAGCAAGTCAGAGGCTGGGAACTAACATCCTGGCTCCCCAAAGCCTGAACACTTACAAGTCACATATCAGGAGTCTGATCGAATAGTTCCCACTTGCCTGGATGCGTGCAGCTGCAATAATTCTCAAGGAGCTCCACACCATCCGAAACAAAGCGTCCTGCTTAATTGGTGTCCTATCGCTTCCTCCATACCAATGCACTTTGGCAGTAGCATGTATTATATATCAGGTCAACAGGCTCCTTGGATAGTGCTTTCCAAAAATGTGATCACCTAAAAGTATAAGGGCAGTAGACACATCATTACCATCTGCAAACTTCTTACCTACTACACACCGTTCTAACTTGGAACTGTAATGTGACTTCTACAATATCATATGATCAAAATCCAGAAACTTCTTTTGTAGCATCATTCTGGGTGTACAGATGAACTGTAACAGCCTAAAATGATGGCTCACCACCACCTTTTTTTGTAATTTGGGATAGGTATTAAATGTGATACCCACATCCCATGAAAGGATAGAAGAAGGCCCTGTCAAACTCTCTATACTCTGTTTGCTGATCTACTTTGGCTTCAGGTCAAGCAATGCCTTGATTTTAAAATTCTCTTCCTTGTTTTTCTCTTCCCTCCATGACCTCGTCCCTCCCTGCAAGTAGAATCTCCTCTAGCTCCACAGCTCTCCAAGATACCCACGCACATCAAAATCTAGCCTCCTGAGCATCTTTTAATTGCTCTGTCATTAAAATCTTCACCTTTGCTTGCCTCAGCCTTGAACTCTGGAATTCCATTCCTGAACCTTTCCACAGTTCCATCTTGCTTTTCTCTTTAAATGCCACATTATTGACTGAGCTAATGGCTGTCTGTCCTTTTCCGGTCTTACGTGCCTTGGTGTCAGTTTTGCTTTGTAATACTCCTGCAAAGCACCTTGGGATACTTTAATATGCTAAAGACACAATGTAAATGAACGTTGTGATCTTGGGTTTTGGAATTGTTGTATTTCACATTTTCTTGACTTCAGATAATAATTGCCTAAAATAAACTGTGATTGATTACATACCTTTAGGAGGAAAAAAAAAGCAAGGAAGGGAATTTTAACTCCTGAGTGGTAATCAGTTTAGTGCCACCTCTAGCTCATCCAATACTGACAGCTAAAGGCTTAGAAAAATTTATCAACCCATACTTATTCATGGCAAAAACTGTCAGGACATTAATCCCAAGGTAAGGAACATAGAATTGGAGTTAGATCGTTGGCGTGGTATGTAGCTAAGGTGGACAGGGTTGAGTGGAGTCTGTATATAAAAGACTATCCCTGCTTCCTCTGCCTTATGAGGAAAAGTTTTAATCTTGTCTGCAGTGATGTCCAGTGATCCAACTGTCCTAGACTTCTGCTGACTTCCTAATTAAGATGGCATCAAGTCTTACACATTATGACACTAATTCACCCATATGTGGGACTCCCTCAGTCTAATTAAGTGATTATAATGTTATATGTCAGCCCCTCTGTGCAGTACTTTGATCTGTTTTCAATTTTATTCACTGCTGTTCTGCCCCCTTATGTAATTTTACCCATATCATTCATAGCCAGTGAATCACTTTTGGATTTCCTAAGACTGTGAATGGTGCTATATAAATGACTATTCATTTTATTAGCCAGACAAATTTCATCAGTTATTCCACTCCACCTTGTGTGCTGCTGTTCACGATTCCTAGATTCTGTCTCATTGTTATCTGGAAATTAAAGGTAGTTTAATTACCAAATCTTGAAAATACAAATCTTGCAAATAAAACTGCAGTGATCTATGAAATAATAGTTGCAGCACTACATCATGTTGAAATCCTTTAAACAATCTTGATATGTGTGGACATTCAGACCATTCTGAACCGATTTTAAAAGGGAGTCGTGGAAGCGCAATTTAAAGGGTTGCAGATGAAAAATAGGAGAGAGAGGCACGATGGCACTAAATGCAACTGCTTTTTCAAAGAGCCAGAAGAGATGCAACAAGTTGAAACAAGCTGCTGCGCTGTATGATTCCATAATCTTGATAAATTGTACGGATGAGTTACTGAAGACAACCGTGCATGCTCTCAGCAAAGGTGTCCTTATGGACATGCCACTATTTCTAATTAAAACAGAAGTTGCTGGAAGACCTAGTTTTAAACTGTTTCATGACAATTAACTCACTGCGGATCCACTGGGAAGAAATGTAATTAAAGCTTCTCTTCTGTAATTATTTGAATGGATTTAAATTTAATTATATTTTATGAAGAGGATATATTTTTGTTCTGTTTTTGCCTGAACAGGTTGAGCTCTGTTATACTCCAGACAGCTAATCCAAATTCATTAGGCCAACAGACAGCTACAAGCGTTGAGATTTGTCACTGCCCCCCTGAGTACTCTGGCACATCTTGTGAAGTAAGTAACAATTGCAGGATCTAGATTTTGCTGTTAATAAATTTCCTAATCTGCAACGTTTCATCTCTTATCATCAATGTGGCAAAATGATAACTGACTAGACCAGTGAAGAACTTCTAACTGCCATCAACAAAGGTAAATTAAAATGAATGGTTGGAAAAGCCTATGGGGCTTGCTTAACTTCACACCCAAATCCTCATTGAATATGATGTACAGAGGAATCATTGATTCACTGTCCCTTGTGCCTTTTCAACTCCTTAGCTCTACATTGAGAAGGTTAATAAGAATTTTGAACTTGAGGTGTAATCAGAATTTTTAAAATTCATTCATGGGATGTGGGCATTGCTGGCATTGGATTTATTGCCCATTCCTAATAGTCCTTGAGAAAGTTGTGGTGAGCTGCCATCCACGAACGGTAAATATATCCAAAATGCTGTTAGGGATGGGGTTACATGATTCAGACCCAACAACACTGAAGGAATAATGATGTATTTCCATATCAAGTGGCTTGGAGTGGAACTTTGAGATGGTGGTGGCCCATATATATTTTGCTTTTATTATGGGGCTGTTAATAAATATGTTAACTTCATTTGGGTTTCTCTTTAATTTCTGGTTGGGATGAGTGCATTTCTGGCACAGGCCTGAGATTTGTGGATTAATTGCCTCTGAGGGTCAGTTCTGGTCTGCAATTCTAGTCACACTGTTATAGGAAGGATATTATTAAAACGGAGAGGGTTCAGAAAAGATTTACCGGGATGTTCCTGGGAATGGAGGGTTTGAGAAATAAACATAGACTGGATAGGCTGAGACATCTCTTCACTGGAGCATAGGAAGTTGAGGGGTGACTTTATTGAGGTTTATAAAATCATGAGGGACATGGATAAGGTGAACAACAAGGGTCTTTTCCCTAGGGTGGGGGAGTTCAAAAACTAGCGGACATATTTTTCAAGTGAGAGGAGAAAGATTTAAAAAGGACATGAAGCGAAACTTTTTTCCAGAGAGAGTGATTCGTGTGTGGAATGAACTGACAGAGGAAGTGGTAGATGCAGGTACAATTAGAACATTTAAAAGACATTTGGATAAGTTCATGAATAGGAAAGGATTGGAGGGACATGGGCCAAATGCAGGCAGATGGGTCTAGTTTAGTTTGGGAACATGGATTTCGTTCGACTGAAGAGTCTGTTTCCATGCTGTATGACTCAATGACTAGGAGGTGGTCAAGAGCCACTTATAACCGAAGCGCTTAGTATTTCGATGTTAGAGTCACCCACAGCGCTGTGGATCTGGAGTCTTGTGGGCCAGACCGGGTCAGTCAGGATAGCAGAATTCCTCCTTGATGGGCATTCGTAAATCAGATTGGTTTTATATGATGATCCAGACATTTCATGATCAACTTTAATTAAACTTGAATTTCATTCCAGATTAATGGTTAACTTAAATTAAGTTCTCCCAGCTGCCTTGGTGGAAATTGAACTCATACCTGCTATTGTAATACCAGTAACATTGCCACTATTTTACCCACAGTGAAATACTTCATTTAAAATAAGAAACAGATGAACCAGTTATGTTCGGTATCTCAGGGATACATTTTATCCTAAATCACTGACTAGATGATCCTTGGATTACAGTTAGCACAGCACTTGTGCAGGCTGTGGGCCTATGTGATTAGAATTTTCCAGGCTCTTAATTGCTCCCCAGCCTACATGCCTGGCTTGACCAGCCTGAAATTTTATGGAGGTTGAGTGAATCTTGGAGCAGCTTGCTCATCATCCATCCAATTACGGCCCTGAAGTGACCAATTAAGTAGCTCCCCTTTCCTCTCACCTATAATTTTGATGCAGGCAGCAGGAGGTCAGGGATGTGAGGAGAGGTAAATTTCTGCAAGTTACTCTGTTCAAGCCAATTAATCCTTTACAAACTATTAAATGGCTATGGGGTTTGTTGCAGATTTGGGAAACCCGCTATCTGAAAAATCCTGTAATGTGTTTTCTCATACGTCGGCTTTCACTTGAGCAATGCAGTTGAGTGCGACGACTGTGGAATCTCTATCTGCGACTTCCCATCGTCCATCTCTGCTTGCGTAGTATTATTGCTGAAAAAAAGACACATTTTGTTGAAGTGTCTGACATTTGATGTGATCCATATCAAATCACATCAACATTTGCTGGATAATCCTGAATATGTGAGGAATTATGTTGACAGCAATTAGGATTTTCAGTCAGGCTTGCAGTGTGGTGCACTTGCATGCGTGAAAGGACATGCATTAACACACAGAGTCCAGCTATTTGCAGACAGAAAGAATGTGTATGTGCACTATGCCTCTTTCAAGTCAACATAATAGGTGACAGCCAATTGCTGGTTTGTTTCTCAGGTCCATGCCCTGACCAATCAGGGTCAATGTTGCTGATTTAAAATTTAACAAAATCTGGCAGTTAACTGTCAATCAGCATTGTGGATGCATTCTCAATGGCAATGCTTCTGCCAAAGAGACTCCACACTTGCCTACCAATCCACACTTGCCTTGTGCAGCATGAATGTTGGTTTTCCCCTGGAATTTGTATTCTTGTGAAATGCCTTGATGAATTCAAAATGAAAAGCTTCAATAAAATGTGTATTTTTTTCAGCAATACACATGCTTTGTATGACCAAAGTACTGTTTGCATAGTATTACTTAAAACCATAGCATCCACACAGGTTTATTGGTCCACAGACCTGTGCTTGAATTTATGCTGCATACAGCCATCTTGATTCCCCCTTCTGCTAATCTAACCATTAATACTTTCTATTCTTTTCCCTATTGTGTGTGTCCTTCCTTTAAGTGCATCTATGCTAGTCGCCTCAAGTATTCTTTGGGGTAGCAATTTCTGCTTTCTAACCAGTTTCTGTCTAAAGAGGTTTCTGGTGAATTCCCTATGGAATTTATCAAAAACTTATCAAAATTAACAAAAATTTATCAAAAAAAAATGTGCCCATCGGATCTTATCTCAGTCTGATTCCTCATCTTTGAGAAGGTGGTGATGAGTTGCCTTCTTAAGTCCATGTGCTGTAGCTGGCCCACTATACCATTAGGGAGAGAATTCCAGGATTTTGACTCAGCAACACTGAAGTCAGGAGGGTGAGTGGCTTGGAGGGCAACTTGCATTTGGTGGTGTTCCCATGTACCTGTTACCCATGTCCTTCTAGGTGCTGGTGATTGTGGGTTTGGAAGGTGCAGGTAAATCCTTTGCATCAAGTAGATAGTACACACTGCTGCTATTGAGCTTCAGTGATGGAGGGAGAGGAGGTTCATGGATGTGGTGTCCATTAAGTGGGCTGATTTGTCCTGAATGACGTCAGTCTTCTTGAGTATTGTTGAAGCTGCACTAATCCAGGCAAGTGGAGAGTATTGTATCATACTCCTCACTTGAGCCTTATAGATGGTGGACAGGTAGTGGGTAGTTAGGAGGTGAGTTACTTGCTGTAGTAATCCTAGGCTCTGACCTGCCCTTGTAGACACTGTATGTATATGGCTAGTCCAGTTCAGTTTCTGGTTAATGGTAACCCCCCAGGATGTAAATGGTGGGGTATTTAGTAATGGTAACACCATTGACTGTCATGTGGTGGTAGTTATATATTCTCTTACTGGAGACAGTTGTTGCTTCACATTCGTGTGACACAAATGTTACTTGCCACTTGTCAGCCCAAGCTTGGATATTATCCAGGTCATGCTGCATTTGGACATGGACTGTTTCAGTATCCGAGGAGTCACTCAGTGTGCTGAGCTTTGTGCAATCATCAGCAAATATCGCCACTTCTGACCTTATGGTGGTGGGAAGGTCATTGATAAAGCAGCTGGAAATAGTTGGGCACTAGAAAGAATGCAGAGAAGATAGGTACAGATACTACCAGAAGACAGGAACATAGGAACAGGAGTATACCATTTCAGCCCTTCGAGCCTGTTCCTCTACTCAATTAGATCATGGCTACAATGAGGAAAGGATTGACAGACTGGGTCTTTTTTCCGTATACGAACAAAAGACTGGGGTGATCTAATGGAGGTCTTTAAATTTTGAAAAATTTAATAGAATAATGTTTAATTTTAATATTTAGTCGAGCATATACAGAAGAATGTTTACAATTGTGAAAAAGAAAATAACCAAAGTCCATTAATATGAGATGGTCGCAGAGAAATCCTATTGAAGATTCGGAAGAAACTTCTACATCCAAAGAGTGATGAATACGTGGAACTCACTACCAGAGGGAGTGGTTGAAGAAAATTGTATAGATGTAGTTGAGTTGAAACTGGACATGTATTTAAGGGAGAAGAGAACAAGTAGTTACAAAGATAGATTTAGGCGAGAAAAAGATTGGAGGATGATGGAGTTCTTCTGTGTGGTATATTCTCCATAATCATAGTTATAATCATCCCATGTTAACAGACTTACATTGGCTGCTGTCTGGCAAGACTTCAATGTTAAAATTGTAAACTCTATTTTCAAATTTCTCCATAGCCTCGCCTTTTCCTATCTTGTAACATCCTCCAGTCCCACATTTCTCCAATATTTTTGCATTTCTTCATTTCTGGCCCCTTGCACCATTGGTCAAAACTCTAAAATCTGGAATTCCTTTCCATTACTGCTACCACTTTCTCTCTATCTCTCTTTCTCTTGCTCGCTTGTCCTTTATGACTCTTCTTAAAACCATATCTCTTTGATCAAACTTTGACCATTTGTCCTGATGTTTCCTCTGTGGCTGTGTGCTGTTCTGTATGCTAACATTCTTATGAAACACCTTGTTACCTTTTACTGCATTAAAGGAAATTTAAATGCAAATACAAATATAAATACAAGTTGCTGTTGTTTCAGATCAGCCAGTAACTCATGCAGGATAGTTGTCAGGCTTGTATATCTCCAGAGCAGCTCTCAAACTGGAAATGCTGCTTGACACAATATTTTTTGGTTGCATGAAGGACTGATGTTGGGCTACAATGTGTACTTGTAGATTGGTCCTATGAGAATCAA